AAACGTTCATGATTCTTATTGATGAAGCTACTAAGTGGAAGACTGGCGACCACCTCATCAACAAGACAGGCCCAGTCTTGGTGAAAGCGCTTAACTATCTTTGGATGCGCATTTGGGGCGCGATGCAGAACCTTCTCACTGATCAGGAAGGATGTCTCATTGGACACGAAGCCACCAAGCTATGCGATCGGCACGAGATCAACAGATTGGCCATCGGTAAAGGGCAGGCACTACCACCAAGGGACTCGTCGAAAGGCATCTAGCTCTTCTCAAGCTTTCTATACTTAAGCTCAAGCAGTCAAGTCAAGCAGAAGGACTGGAGTCTCAGTTACTCCGACATCTGCTACGAGTGTTGCGCTGGCCACAATTGTCACTCTCTATGGCTAGGCGGCAGTACTCCACAATTGGCCTTGACTGGACAACTACCGAGGACGATTGCGATCGACAGCGAGACCATCACGTCCATGACAGGCGCCCTCGAGAAGCGCCCTGACTACATGGAGTCCATGGCACGAGCGAGACTATTGGCTCGACAGGCTATTGTACAGTCAGTTATCCAAGATCGATTAGCTCAAGCATCCAAGATAACTCAGCACCAGCACGAGCCAGAGCTACTCGTTCCCGGAACGATATGCGACATTTGGCGAGAACCAGCACGGAAGGACGAATGCGGATGGCGAGGCCCAGCGGAAGTTATCAGTCTGGAGCGACGCGCAGGATCGGCAATAGTCAAGCATCAAGGCCAGCCGCTTATCATTCCTCTACGACACCTTCGGCGACATGTTCTCGCCGAACACTACATCACGGAGCTCAACAAGAAAAACGACACGAGCAGCTTCTACATGCACTACGACCTGGTCAACCCTACGATGGTCAAGGCAGCGGCTACCTTTCTGGCACCATATCAGATATATGCCGATTGAGTTTTGGTTCCCTCGGAAACGTTGTGCGACCTGATGGATTTAGTTGATGGAGCTACACCCACTAAGCTATATTGGTTCGGCCTGGTGTGGCAGCAAGAACAGTATCGATATGTTCCCAGTGAAGAAGCGTGTGACTCATGCAAGCCTTTGGCCTTGGGCATCAAGATATTCAACGATACGTTTAAGCCTGTGCATGGTTTCTTTACGGCTCACAAGTACGTCGACTTCCTCAGATTGAATATGCACAGTGGGCTCTACTGCTACGCTGGCGACGAGAGGATCGAGCTGACTACAGTATTCGTGTACGACGTCCAGATCTAGCTCTTCGCTATACAGCCGAGCAGTCTACCAACTACAGCACAGTTATGCTCAACAGCTATGACCATTGCGAAGATCTGGACAAGCATTTCGATCCACCAGAGCTGGACTGGAGTGATATCAGCATGATCGACTGGCCTGACGACCTCTCTGACATTGTTATTCCGGATCAGCAGCCACCGCGCGATCCGCCAGCACCGCCAGCTCGGGCACCACCATTTCCACCTTTTCGGTCGAATGCTATACCTCCACAAGAGCCTGGACAGCCACCAGATCAGCCATCTCATGGTCAGCCCTCGACGGCACCAGCTACGACAGGCACGCCGCAGCTCAACGTCCCAGGCGACCAGATTGTCGAAAGCGACGACGATATGGAAGAGATACCAGCTCATGGACATGATCACGACCTACCTCCGGCACCTGGACCAGCACCTCGACGCATTCCTCGAGATGCACCTATGGGTCCGCCTTCGCTGCAGCCACAGCACCGAGACACACAAGGATCAGAGGACTCACTGCAGACTCCAGCTACTCCTGACAAGCTACCGTATGTTCCTCTCGACTTGGACAAGCCCAAGACCAGCACAGCGGAGAAGCAGAAAGCAGTTGATCCTCCAGTTGACGCGTCACAGTCACCACCTCAGAAGCGAGGAAGATCATCGTCGCCATATCCATGGCCCTCTCCTTGGCAGCCTGAGTCACCACCACGACCACCGACGGCTTCTACAGGGAGATATCAGCCAGGAGCTTCATCATCGTCAACGGATTTACCAGCGGCTACACCGGGTACGTCTTCGACACAACCAGCGCCGGCGGATTCGACGGAACCTCCGATACTTCCACTTCGTAAAGATGAAGCACCAGCAGGAGAACAACCCTCGACTTCTACTGACAGAACTCTGGAATACAGCGACGATCCAGATGGAGACCCCAGAGTCTTATACCAGGAGATGATTGACCACCTTGACATTCCCAAGATTGTCAATCTATGCGAACGGCTACCCGATGGAACTCACAAGCAAAGTATGGAAGAGATTTATGACGAGATGATCAGCAACCTCTCAGATGATTTCGATTTTGTATCTCCGACACTTTATTCCGACTCGGACCGGTACTTATGCTTCCATTACGATTTGCGCGAGTCAATGGTTTCCCGAGTTGATGATTCGACGGCGAACCTCACAGACGATGAGATGAGACGCTTTGCGAAGTTGGTTATTGCAGGTGACCATTAGTAAGTTTCCGGTCAGGCTGCTTCGAGGCTGCTTCGGGGGATCCGCAAACTGAAAGACGCGAAGCGCTCAGAATGAGTCCAGAAGCGAGCCGGCGTCACGAGGATATACCGATCTGACACGAAGGCGCCGAAACTTTACCGAACTTGGGTAAATAATGCTCGGCCAATGCAATCCTCTCTAAATCGGCACTCAACGAAAGGAAACCATACAAATGCAACTTGAACCGATCGATCGAAGCCCCTGGGCCCCTCGAAAGCTCGATCACCCCAATCCCGCGGAAATTTGCTAGATTCGCTTCGAAATCCCCAAACACTGCGAATTCAGAAGAAACTGGCCGCCTTGAGCCAGAAGATCATCTACGGCAAGGGATCGGCGAAGAACCATTCGGAAATGACGCCCAAGCAAGAGGGTCGCCGCAATGATGCGTTGCTAGGCTTTCGCACGTGGAAGCGGGAGGGGGCGCAGGGGAAGAGCGAGAGGAAGAAAAAAACAAGACAAGCGCAACGAGGGCAGGCCGCACGAAGAGGGTAAGAGAAGGGAGCATGGGTGAACTAGAGCTGGATTAGGGGGTTAGGGTTCGGACCTTGGGGGTTCGGGTTCGGGGCTTGTGGCTTCGGGCTTCGGGCTTGTGGCTTAGGGATTCGGGGTTGGGGCTCAAGGCAAAGGGCTTAGGGATTAGGGGTTAGGGCTTCGGGCTTAGGGTTCAGGGCTTGGGGCTTGGGGCTTGGGGCTTAGGGCTGGGGGCTTAGGGTTCGGGGTTTCGGGCTTTGGGTTCGGGGCATAAGGATTAGGGCTTTGGGCTTCGGGATTAAGGGCAAGGGCTCAAGGCTTTCGGCTTAGGGCGCAGGGCTTAGGTGTTCAGTCTCAGGGCTTGGAGCCTCGACCTTAGAGCTTAAGGCTTAGAGCTTGGAGCTGAAGGGTTGGGGATGTGGTCTTTGGGTTCAGAGCTTACGGATTAGGGGTTAGGGGTTAAGGCTAAGGGTTGAAGAATTAAGGTTCGGTGCTTAGGGTTCAGGGCGTAGGCCTTTGGGTTCAGGGCTTAGGGGTTAGGAGTCGGGGCTTAGGGGTCAAGGCTGGCTTAGGCCTCGGGGCTTAGGGCTTGGGGGCTTCGGGCTTCGGTTTCGGAGCTTCGGGGATAGGGCTCAGGGTTCAGGGCTTAGGGCTTAGGGCTCAAGGTTTCGAACTTAGGGCTATTAGGGGCTAGGGTTTAGGCTTCGGGGTTAGGGTTCGGGCCTCAGGGCTTAGGGCAGAAGGTTTCGAGCTTCGGGCTTCGGGTTCGGGGCTGAGGGCTTAGTGCTTAGGGCTTATGCTCCAGGCTCTGGGCTTAGGCCGAAGGGTTCGGGGCTCAGGGTTCGGGGCTCAAGGCTCAGGGTTCAGGGCTTGCCGCGGAGGGCTGGGTCAGGGCCCGAGGGCTTAGGGCTAGGGCGCTGGGTTCTGGGCTTGGGGGTTAGGGCTCAGGGCTTGGAGGCCCAGGCTTCGGGATTGGGGTTCGGAGCTCGGGGTTCGGGGCCGAGGGTTCGGGACTTCGGGCTGAGGGGGTAAGACTCAGAGATTATGGGGCTAGGGCTTAAGGCTTAGGGTTCAAAGTTCACGGGTTAAGGCATAAGGCTTGCAATTTAGAGTTTCGAGCTTAGGGCTCGGGGCTTCGGGTTTAGGGTTCGGGGCTGAGAGCTGCGAGCTTCGGGTTCAGGGCTTGAGTTTACGGTTCGGGGCCTAGGGATTGGGGCTCAGGGCTTGAAGCGTACGGCTTGGGGCTTAGGCCTCGGGGCCCAGGCCTTTGGGCGCAGACCTTAGGGGCTAGAGTTCATGGCTTAGTGGTCAGGGCGTAAGCTTTAGGCTTGACGCTAGCCTAAACTCAGTCAGCCAGCATAGCCCGCGAAGTAAATGCCCGATGTGGCATCGAGATGTTTCCTGGCCCTCGAATTCTCCGGCGACACCGCGCGCGCCACGAGCGCCCCGAGACCGCCGACACGGCCCCGAGAAAATCCTCGAAGGACCCCGGGAAAAAGAAAAAGAAAAAAAACACGGGCTCCAATACCACCGAGAGGCTCAGACTCTGACGGACGACCCGAAATGCGCCACGAGATTCCTTCGGCCACCTTAAGCAAGCAGCGTGCCGCAATAAATCGTCGATGGCGCCTTCGATCGAAACTCGTTGAGACGACGACCAGAAAAGCACGCAACTGGTATTTTCAGGCGCCTCTGCGAGCCCCGCGCCATCCGAATCTCGATTGCGTGCGGTAGCCAAGTGGCCAGTCAGGCGGTCGACGCCTCGCGTCGAGCAGTTCTGTACGTCGCAGCGCGCACACGGAATCTACAAGGCTCGGCCGTACTCGCCCAGGCGACTGCGCACAGACCGCACTAGTACTCGCGCCGCTCACCTTGCACTGAGCACCTTCAATGCTCTTTCAAAGACACGGTCAGCGAATAAAAACACTTGCTAGAGGACTCGTCGCGACCCTGAGGTCGGATCCCCAACAGGCCCACGAATGCTGACCCTGCCTGCCCCGAAAGCCCAGCGCAATCATCGCAAGTAGTCGTCGGCAACGGAGATGGGCTCCGCGGCCGTCAAGTCGACAAGCTCGCCGAGCTTGGCGGACATAACGTCCCACTGCTCCTTCTTCACAGGCGTCAGCGGCTCGGGCGCCGCCGACCTGGCTGCTGCAGCAGCGCCCCTCATGGCCCTGAGGATGTTCTCCATGCGGCCGTCTCCTGCAGGATCGATCTTCATCATGCCCAAGATCTGCTCGTAGTGCTTGATGCTCGCCGCGGTGTGCGTGAACCAACTCTTCCTCACGCCGTAGTGGACCTGCCGCTGCTCCGAAGCCACCTCCACGCAAATGAAACCCATGGGGATGTACAACGCCGCTCCAGGCTGCAACGTCTGCCGCCACATCCTCACCCCCGCGTCGACGAGGGGCCTGATGTTGGTGAGCTTGCTGACCGACTCCGTCAACTCCTGCGCCGCAGCCACGCCTGGGCACACTTCTGGAACCGCCTTCAGCATGGAATCGAGCTCGATCAGGAGGTGATCGCACTGCCCCGCCAGCAACACCTTGAAGCACGCCGCGTAGTTCGGCGTGAGGACCACCCGACGCATCTGCGGCGACAATCCGAAGAGCCACGACTGCGCCTCGAACTGGTCGCCACCTGGAATAGACGCCACGGATAGATCAAGCTTCGCGCCCTGGGGAGCCATAGACACCATGGCGTCCGAGACGGCCTGCCTGCACTTGTCGGTAAGCTGGGACTGCCCGATGCCCGTGCTGGCCACCGACTCGATCCTGGAGCGCCCAAAGAACAGCGGGGCCGACGCCCCCTGCCCCCGCCCCCACATCCCCCGTCGAACCCATCACCCCCGATTCTGTCAAGTCAGAACCAGGTGGCGAGGCGAGGGGGGGGGGGGCGGCAGGCAGGGCGCAGAAGGTGCCCGCGTTCTCCGATCCCTGGCCTCTTGTATTGCGCTGCAAACACGGCGGATGTCTGCAAGAAGTCCGCGTCGGCCAAGGCCCTCTGCACGGCGTCTGGAAGCTCGAGCGCGGAAGGCGTGTCCACGTCGAACTGGCCCGTCCACTTCACCACCTCCACCATCTCCGCGAGCACGTGCTCCGCCGTGAAGATCGCGGGGCGTCGACCGGTGTCGGGGCCGCCATTTGCCCTCGCTCCACCGAGAAGCTAGCGACGGCGCAGCCGCTGTCCTGAGTCCCGGGCTTAGACTGGCCTGAACCAGTGCGCCGTGTAATGAAAAGTAATAAAATAGAAAAAAAAGTAATGGAAAAGAGAAAAAAAAAAAAAAAAAAAAAAAAAAAGAGAGAAGAATAGATTGTTGATCCAGGTACAGCAAATCTCCTGTCTTGCCCTCGCCGCCTCCTGCTCCTTCTTGCGCTGCTCCTTTTGCGCCTGGCCCGCTCTGGACCTGATGTGGGCTGCCATCTCCGCTGCCGTCTTGGCAATGCCTGCTGCGGTCATCCTGGCGACAGCTAGCACCGCCTCGACCTTCGACGTGTACTCGCGGAAGGCTGGCCCCGACATCTCGAAGAGGCTAGCCAAATCCAGCTCGTCCATGGGCGAGTCGAGCAAATCGCACTGCTGGAACTCCTGCAGCTGGTCCGGCGACCAGAACGCGAACCTCTGGAATTCCTCCGCCTGCAGGAAGTCGCGCGTTGACATGCCCTGTATCTCGGCCACCCTCTCCGTCGAAAGCTCGGCCTCGCTCACGCGGCTCGCGCTGGCCGCATCGCCAGATCCACGAGAACTCCACTTGGCGATGCTCAGGCCCACGTCCGCACCCGAAAGGGGTCGCGCGACCTCGATCAGGCCACGAGCGAACCTCCACCCACACCCCAGGACCGCAACCACCGCCATCCCCACCGCGACGAGCTCTAGGGAGGCAAGGCCAACTTCGCTCGAAGCGCTGGATGCGAAGTAGCCCAGAGCGCCCTCTAGAACCGCACGCGCGAAGGTGGGGGGGCGCGAGGGAGGCGAGTGGAAATCAAACGTGGCCAGCGAGCCTCGTGCTTGAACTGCAGCACCCGAGCGTGTTCCAGCAGCACGCGGTCAGAGGCCCGCAGGTGACTCGGGTGCTCCAGCAGCGTCGAAGCCACCGACTTACCCTTCTTCGTGGCATCCAAGAGCTTGGCAGAAGCGACTCCGACCTCCTTCTCATACTTCGCGAAAGCCTTCGTCTTGGCCGATGAAATATCCTCGCAGCCCGCGGCATCGGAAGCGGCCGTTCTCTTGCTAGTCCTGCCCCGCTTGTTGCCGTCACCCTCGTCGACGCCGATGGCCTCCTCGTCCACCTGCCGCTTCTTGCCAACGATTGCGTCCTTCGAACTCATCGACAAGAAGCCGTCAGCGAAAGACACGTCTTGCCGAAGAACGTGTCGTTCCAGCATGGCGCGGTACTCCTCTGGCGGCTTCTTGTTCTTCTTGTTGCCTTCGACAGCTTGGTTGTCTTCGTATTGTTCACGGCCTCGCACTTTGCGCCTCTCCACGCTGGGGGTGTATAATTGAAACCGCCCGCGAGGACCATTGCTATCCCTGTCGATGTTGCGGTCGTTCTTCAGCTCTTGCCACCAATCGTCAGCCTCCTCACTCGAAAAGCCCTGCACCTGAACCGCCCAGATGAGGAAGGCCGCGTGGGTCATCGGGACGTCCGCCTCCGTTTTGCTCTTGTACGCCTTCTCGCCGCGCACTCGGACGGACTGCGCAAAATCGATCAGGTTCTTCCGCTTGAGCTCTGGCGGATTGTCCTTGAGGAATCCCACCGCCCATGCGGGCGCAGGTGGCTTGCGAAACTGTCCGCTCTCACTTCCTCCAACCCCCCCCCCTCTCCAACCCCGCCCCTGGGGCCTGGGAAGGGAGGCCGCCAAGCTAAAGAGCGCCCCAAACAACGCCGACGGAGTTGTTTGGGGCATATCCAGCAACGCCCGCTGCCGCATTTAATCGACTAGGCACCCGAAATTAACATCGGCTTCCCCTTGGGGCGTCGCAAGAGCAGGGCGGCCTCGAAAGATCAATCAGAAATACCGAAGGAATCCCGATAAGAAAAAAAAAAAATGCCCCAAAACTGCCCGCAAAGAATGCCCAAATGGCTTCGAGATGTCTCCGCGAACACGCCGCGACAGCACCTCGATTTGCCGAGCCATCGTTTTTGGATGCGCTGGTGGGGATGCGCAAAGCGTGCAGACTTTGACGAGGTACTCCCCTGC